TCGAGCCCCTTCCATACGTCCTCTACAACCTTGACCCATTCCGTGGGTTGTCTACCCCTCTTTTTGTTTGCCCACTTCGCCTCCCATACAATTCTCGGCAACCTCTCCTCTCCCAACCCGCACATGCGATACTGCCAGGTCAGCTTCCTCGCGTCTCTTCCCGACCGTAGGGATTGGATCCCCAAACACCGGGGGGGGGGATTTCTCTTAGCAGAACGTTTTTTCCAGCGGGTCAGTATAAGTGCAGGACCTATTCCAGCGCTTGCTTTATTTGCCCACCTATTTCTAGCTGCTCTTGAGTTGTTTCCGCTTGCGGCTTAGCCGGTCGCGTGGGTATGCACCCAGCCGCTATCCACGTCTTCGTGCAGCAACGACACGCGGGTGTGCAACCGCCGTTCGAAATTTCGAATGATGTCGCTACTTTCATTAGTTTCCCCGTGTGACCTTCACCAAGTGAGGGACACATATTTTCCATAATTGTTGCATGGGAGCGGGATTTGGAAGCTCTGTCTTGATTTTATTTTGTCCATTTACGTACAGACGTATGCAGAGCACCGTTCGAGGTGTTAGTGTCTCCCTGTTCTCGTGGTAGCGCGTGAAAACAACGAGCTATTTCTTCATCACTTTATCGCAGGTGATGTTTGGAGTGGTGAAGATGGTCGACTTCAGGGACGCAAAGCGGCTGTACCATCTGAGCAAACCCGACTTCTTCTTGTGGAATGTCTCTTTTTGGGTCACTGCTATCGTTGGGCCCATCAAGGGCATCGCGGTCAGCGTTGTCGTTAGGTGAGGGGGCCAATTTTGTGGATCAGATCCGATCACGCCAATACGGTGACGTCGACGAAGATGCAGGTTTAGCCGCGTGAGTGAATCCGGTTATTCTTTTCGCCCTTGTATGCATCTGATTTGTTGGTTGCTGGTTGGTCTCATGCCACCGAGGAATCCTGGTCGTCAAGCACGGTACCTCTATCGATAGATGGCGAGTTGCAGAGCCCCCTCTCATGTGACGCTTTGATTTCAGTCGTAAATTTAGCACTTTGTGACTAGCCTCCTCACGCTGGCGCCGTACTGTAACAGGACAGCCGTCGAACGAACGAATGAACGAGCCCATTGTACAACTACTCAGCCGCTTGACACTGTCACCGCTTATTCGGACGCAATCCTGCTTGATGAACCGCTGGTTGATTTGCCCGTCCCTTGGATGCCCATCGATTAGCCGCTCAACCATCTACCTACCTGCTCCGCTCAAGCAGCCTCCTGTACTTGCTGAAGCAAACGTCGAGGCCGGCGAACTCGACGCTAGGCAGACTGCCCGAGACCCGCGAGTACCGCAATATCAAGCGTTTCCCGATGGCGAAGGAGATACCGGGAATCCGCATCTTCCGATTCGATTCTAGCCTGCACTTCGCGAACAAGGACTACTTCGAGAACCGACTCAAGGCTCTGGTAAGAGAGAGAGAGAGAGACAGAGACAGAGAGACACAGTCAGGGGAGAAAGAGTCGGCTTGAGGTGCGGAATCAGCTAAAGGATAACGGTAGTACAGGACTTACGAATTATGTATGTATGGGATGGAATTAATTTCAGGAGTGATCGAAACGAACACCTTTGGCCTGGATGGCATCTTGCATGACATACATACGAACTGTTGGCCGGGACGGCATCTTGCGTGTCATAAACAAGAAATGAAAATACAGCTATATGGCATATGCAGGCGCATGTTTTCCAGCCCCGATATTTTTTGGTCTTGCCATGTCTTGAGTTCACTGCTGTTGGCCATTCTGTGGTAACGCCGGCCCTAATCCCACCTCGGTCTCTCGTGATGGTGATGGTGGCGGTGAAGGAAAACAACCCCTACCAGGGGGTTCGAATCCACACCATCGTGCTAGACGCGTCCTCCATCAACCAGCTGGACGCTAGCGCAATCGACATGCTCATCCTCGTGGCCAAGTCGTACGACGAGCGGGGTGTGTCCATCCTTTGCGCCAACTGGAAGGGGCCCCAGCGTGACCTGTTGGAACTGTCCGGCTTCTATGACGTCATACCTCCGGCGAACCTGTTTCTCGGTCTGCACGATGCCGTCGTCGAGGCCAGAAAGAGGTGAATCACATAAATCACATGAGTCACATGAGTCACATGAGTCACATGAGGGCGGCTACCGTTTTTGTGTTGGTGATGCTGCTGCTGCAGTTGTTTGGGTGGTCGGTGTCGGTGTCGCCGTGCGCTTTTCCAATCTCGACGGATGGAGCCATGAAAGCTGAATTCTTATGTCCACATACCTGAGACTATGCTTGACCCATTAACTGTCTGAGCAGCGCTAGACCCACTCGATGTACAGTACCCTGTTGTTTCCCTGAACGTGTCTCGTTGTATGACCATCACTGCCCCTTCCACCACCATCACCATAGTTCAGAGTAGTACCGTAAGTAGTTAAGCATGTTCAGCAACACACCAATTTTGTCACCCATGAGGCATTTCGCTCTCCTTCTTCTGTGCAGTTCTACTCCTGCGTCAATAGTCAAGCCAACATCTACCGCCGCTGCCCCTCCGTCCCTCCACTCTCTACCGTATGTGTCTCTGCAGGTCTCGAGACATCACAGAAGAACCGCTCCCGCCCCCAGCACAACGGTCCCCAACATCAGCCTCGGGCAGATCCGCCAGCATCGCGGAAGGCGATCCTTCGAACGTGTTGCACAGAGAGGTGTCGGTCGCCGAAACCGTGGTTGAGATCGGACCCGACGGAGAGACAAGGGAGTGGAGGGTTGGTGCCGTGGAGATGAACCCAAGTGGGGAAATGGAGCGCGAGTGGGGCATGGGGCGAGTTTAGAATAGCACAGGTAACATGTGTGATAGGATCTTGAGTGGCGGAGGTTTTGTCATTTCTAGTAAAGAGCAAGGGTTTGAGTTTGATGCTTCGGTGTAAGGGTGAGAAGTGAAGTGGAAGAGATAGAGTGCATGGACGGCTGTCTCCGGGAGGGGATGGGCGAGACGTATTATGGCGCCACTCAAATGAGCGTTGAGAATCTTATGATGGCTTCTGCAGAAGACTCAGTAAGTCAAAGCGTGCGATAGGCACTCCGTGTCGTGACCATCGTACACTTTCGACTAGTTCAAGTTGCACTGAGCGACAAGCAGAAGGAGATTTGTAGTAGTCGGTGAAACCAAACATGCCCACTGGGTTTGGGCGAGGCCTGCGTGGATTTTCCTCCTCCCTGTCTTCGGTAAACGTTGCCCTTTGGCGGTGTTCGCCTGATGTTCCATACGCTCAAAGCTCGAATCGAGGAACTCCTGTTGTCATTCTCTTTGCCCTCATGCTGCCAGTGGAGAAGGGTTAGTTTGAATTGTGATGGCCGGGATTTTTGTTTTGAGAGACATTGTGTACCCTAGACCAACGTCGCGCCGTTTTTCTGTACTTTTGCTTTTTCCCGATATGTGTAGCCACTCCCGGCCACCTGCTACCTCGACCTTGAACCCTCCTTGACGGATGGATTTGTGTCATTTGAGTTGTTTTATCACTGCCTCCGACGGTCGGCCAGGGCTATTGAAATCAATAGTACTTGCATCACTCATGTGTTTCACTCTCCCCGCGCGTCTCGGCCTGCCCACACCGTCCTCTCGTCTTCATTCTACCGCGTTTGGCTCCGAACTTGAAGCCATCCAACATGATCCAACATGATACATACGATTGTCTCCTCTCTCGCCCACGTTTGTTTGTGTCTGCACCTACTCGTTCTTCTACTCTTCAGCCACCAATTGTCTGCAAGCACAAGAGGATAAACTCGGAACACGAAACTCGGTGGAGCGATCGATAGCAGCCAGCAAGAAGGCTACAGCACACGACATTTGTGCTAATGCCAATGGGCAAGGCACGGGACAGGTCTTCCCCTCTCCTCGCTGCTTGGAGTGGGAGTTGTTCTTCACTAGCCCCGACGAAACGATAGACATCAATCAGACCATTCCTCTTAGGGATAGACAAAGCATGATTCATTTTCCCTTAGGGATAGACATGGCATATTGCATTGCTCCTTTGGGATAGGCGTGGCATGACATCATTCCCCTTCGGGAAATCTTCGCGCCGCAGAGGCTGAAGTATCCATCGGCACGCCACGTGTTGGCGTGCACGCTCTCTGCTGCTCTGCGGGGTACACGTCACCGTGGGAGGGTCCAGGAGGTTCGGGTACAAACGGGTTTGAGCTCGATGACGTAGGTGCCATTTACTTGATTTTTTTCGGGCAATTAATAGTTGTTCAGATGTATCTGGTAGCACCATCGGCAGCGCTAGATTTGATGTAGAGGAGGTCGGTCCACTTCGCGGGTAACCCGGAGTCTATTTCATTGCACACATGGTCTTGTTGCCACCTGTTGGGCCTGGTATCTTTGGGCATGGCCGCGTGGATGACACAGCAACAGCAGCAGTCGTGTACAGTAGCTACAGGCAACGTGTTTCAGCAAGCAGTACGCGTACGGGAGTTAAACGGTTTTCCGATATGTATGCGTATGACCGTTTTTTGCGCGCCCAAGTATAGCAGGGTGCATGAACTAGGTTCTCTTCTACAGCAGTCAGTCTCCTTTCAGCGGTGGCACCGTTTTAGCAATGAGTGCAAGCAAAAAAAAGTTTGTGTTGAGGTTTGTTGCTGGATACGATAGGGCTCAAGCTGGCCGTTGACTAAAAACCCACGAAACAAGCGTCTTGACTCTTTATGGCGTCGGAGTTGAATGAAAACGCGTAGTCTAGTCGATATCGACGCGCCTGCCAGCCACAGCGTGCAGGTGCCGTTGCGATTTTTCCCTCGTGTTCTGTATAGACTTGAGGTACTTGAGGGGAGGCACGCGGCGTGTGATTGTCTAAATGTAACACGTGAGCTTGGCGTCCTCTGTGCTCGAGAAACAGGACATGCGCATTTCGTTTGCCCACGTTCTTCCGTTCGTGAGGCTGATCTGATGTATGATGATGTAGCATATTCCAAGGCGTACTGTTCCCCGCTTGTTTTTTTTTTTAATTCGCTTGGTTTTTGTTTCTGGGTGGGTCTAGCACCGCTGGTTTGGGAGTACATTTTTTTTCATGTCCCGCGGGAGGATTTGTATGACGTATCATATCATATGCTGCGATGCATTGCATGTACTAACTGTATTGATTGTTGTGTGTTTCGCCTTTCTCCTTGACTGTTGGCTGTGTCGGTGTGTAGTGCATGTATGTTGGCTACAGACCTTTCTTTTGTGTATGCCGGTCGTCCTCAATCAAATGTACAAGTGGTACCCAAGCCCTCTCAGCCCCTCGAGAGATGGATGATTGTGCGGCGGTTTTGGACGCCATCCGACGCGCGTTCGTTGGTGTCGTTTGTCGTGTGTGCTTGCTGCACAAGAATATCACACTATCTACAACCAAAGCTATTAGACTAGTCTATTGCATGATGGTCTCAACGGGGCGAGCTAGAGAGGGAGGCTTGTACTCGTTCTCTGGATCGTGGACACCAGTCAGTCTACTGCACTTCATATGAATGTAGACTAAATGTGTGCAAATATGTATGCCATGCGTGTCTCTTTTTCAAGCTTGATCCTACGACAGAGGGCAGCTGTTCCGCCTGTGCAGGCAAAGATCTGAGTAGACCACCTGTGGTTGCTGGCAACACGCCAAAATGAATACTCCTAGTTTCCGTTTTAGTTTTGGTTTCCCAGGTGAACCCACAGGATATTATCCTTTTTTGTAAAGTCGCCAAGTTTGGGAAGGTAACGAGACCTGTGGAGAGACACAGACATGTCTCTGATGGCAGCAACGGACATGATCTGAAAAACGGACATAATAATCTGAAAAAAAATGGACGGCTGTGCTGTCTGTACCCACGTACTCTGTAGGTGGCGAAACCGTAACCACCCTTCAAAAATCAAAGTTCAAATTTCAAATGAAGTCCGTTGCCTCTACCACGCACCACTCCACCCTATTTTTTCGTATGCATGTATGCATCCACACGGTACAGCTTTTCGGTAATCGGTGGTCTGTGGGCCTGAGGGTTGACTGGCCAAACCCTACCGGCCAACAACTTTGATTGACGGGCAACAAACAGCTGGAAACATCCGTCCCCCGTCCTGAAGGATACCACCATGTGTATTAGTCTAAAAGGATGGGTATGGTCTATAGACTAAATCCAACGCGTCCGAGCTGCAAAAGCTGTTGTTGCGCAACTTATCATCCCTATCTTGCTGCTGCAGTTAGGGTGCCCCTCACCCCTCACACCATCACATCATCACACCCACCCATGGAAGATGTTTGCGGTTTGGATTTGGGATGGTTCCGTTGCACATGTCCGGAAAGGGGAAATGAGGGGACGGAAGAAGCGGAGTATCTCTGTGTGAAGTCAAAATAACAAAATTAAGATCTCTTCCGAAAAAGTTGTTCGGTTGTTCGGTCGTTCGGTGACTTCTTGCGATGGCATGCAACCGTAACCAACACACCACCAAGCTGAGAGTTGAGAGTCGTTGGTTGGTCGCCTCTTCGGCCGCTGCTGTCATCTGTCACATCCACACCTCTCACACACACACGTTCCTTTCATATTCTCCTCCATCTCGAAGAGATTGATCCACGCCCTCTCGCTCACCCAGCAGCTAGTGTATAGACTAGTCTGGGTGCGGTGGTGGAGCCAATCTCACCATCACCATCATCAGGAGCAGCATGCCTGGCAAGATGCTCTCCAGGTTTGTGATGATGACCCTCATGGGAATAGCTGCAGGGACGCCCCACCCAGAGTGCGAGCCTTGCGCCGCCGTTGCGAAAGCGGAGCTCGAAGCCCTCGACCTGAATGACAAGGTGTGTCCACTGTGGCCTAGGAAGCACCAGAGTCTATCTCAGCTTCAGGTCTGCGTGCTTGCTAAAGTTTCGAGAGTGCAGGGAGCGAGAGAGATGGGGGATTGGTGAGAATATCCGATCGCGCGTTGTGCGGATCTCGATGGTTGGCAGCAGCGCTTGGTCTGTTGAGAGACTTGGGGATGTCGAAGCGTTGCTAGCGCACAAAGCCTCTGCTGGATCGCTCTCTGGTCGCATGCATTTACCGAGCACTATTTGCTGTCGCTGGTCATATCCATTCCGGCATCCGGCCTATGCCGCTGCTGCTGTTGCGGGTGCAGCGGGCGCAGATGGCGGACGGTGAGCAGAAAAAAAATAAATCATGTCCAATCGTGGCTAAAATGCCTGTTACAGCTTACAGCATCTGTCTCACGCTCTCCAAAGTCGCTACCCCGAGGTGGTGCGTTAGAGCTGCCAGACCGTACTCGGTAGGTGTGCTTGCTAACAACTTTAACTTCATGCTGCTGCTGTAGCTGAAGCTGTTGATTGATGCATCGAATTTTATCGCGACGCCCCAACTCAACGGCTTCCTTCCCGACACAACAAATAACCACGATCGAACAAAATCATCTTGGTCTGTCTGTGTCCGAAACAAGGTTACCGTTACACCGTTACAGCAGTACGTACTACAGACGTGGTCGTGCACACGACTATCCAAAGCAAAACTACTGTAGGATTTATGAGTCGAGAGTCGAAATGATGGCGCGATCAAGGTGTCTGCTGCTCTGGACTGCTTCCCCAACACGTGCATGGTACGGACTGCTGTTCCGAACACAATTGATGAAAACCTTCTCAAATATTATGTACTGCACCATGCAGCTCGGGTGAGGGCGAAAGAGGCAGAAACAGCAAGATGCTGTTCACGTTGGTTCTTGGTTTCGTTGTACACACAAGTTGGTTGTCTGTCGTTTGTTGCGCGACGCTACAAGTACATGGTAAATTCAACGGTATGTACTGTGGAGGCCGAACACAACCACGGTCGTTTCGTACCATTGAGTAATCTACACATCCTTTCTGGACAGCCTCCGTAGAGCAAGATAAGGGTAATAATGTGGTGTATGGTGTCTTTCCGCGTTCGTGGCTGCTGTTGTTTAGAGTAGCGTACAGGCAGATTTTTTTTGTTCCTTTTGCTGAACATGGATTGCAACAGACATTTGGGATTGGTATCTATCAACAGCGCATGATACCTATTCCGGCACGCGATCAAGAGGACCGGAGGGCATTTCACTCTTAATTTTACAGCAGCGCATACCTCCGTAGCAAACGCATTTAGTTCGTGCGAACGAGAGAGCTTACAATCATTGAAGACGTTACAGAGAGGCATAATTCCAGGTTTTGATATCTACCGCCGTAGCGACGAGGGTGAACAACCTATGTGAGTCGGTGTTCTCCGGAGTACCGCGTTGTTGCATGCATATTTGATGGAACTATCAAGTATGCGAATCATATGCAAAGCCGCTGGCCCACGATGTAGATGATCAACTGAGCAAGTCCTCTTTCGCAGAGAGTTTCTTCTTTTGTAGCCAATAATTCTCCCCAACGTACTATAAAGTCTGCTGTACTTCGTGGGGAGGAATGCTTGCAAACCAAAGACATGTCTCGTGTCTCACATGGCCTCTCCAGCGAACGTGTCCTGACAGCAGGCAATGATGGAGGAATTGTAGTAGTTTCCCCCAGCTCTTCTTCAACGCATTTTACGAGCAAAGCCGGGCGGCCCCGCAACCCCCGCCTCGCCCGTCTGTCACCACATCATGACATAACATCGACGCGTTGCCCATACACCCATGAACCTCTGTCTGCCTCTGCGTGGTGCGTCGTGTATGATAGGTACTGCTGTAGGAATATAAAATACAACACCGAGTAGACTACATGTACTGACCCGTGCCTACCGCGTATCGTTCCCACATTACTTTGTCTCACCCTCACCCCCCTCGTTCCCTCGTTCCCTCGTTCCCTCGTTCTCTCCAACGAACATCACAACAGTACCTCTGCTGCGACCTGACCTGTGCCCAAACACCGGTCGCCGGTTGCGGCATCTTCGGTCTTCCTCTGGTATGCAAGGCCTGCTACGACGGCGATGGCACCCCTGCTTACGACGATGACCCTGTCGATGGCGACGGCACGACCCCGTCCACTACTCCCGCACCGGCCACCGCCGAACCGGTGACCGCTGAGCCAGTGACGGCCGAGCCGGTGATGCCGGTGGCTGCTCCCACTCCTGAGGTGACTTCAGGGCAGGGCTAGATAACTTTGGAAAGCAGTATATATCTGCACCGCGCCGTATCCTTCTGTGATGTTCGGTCTTCATCCACCCACCCATGTTGTTCCGGTACATACCTCCTGTGATGAACACCGGTCGCCCCGGTGGTCTAGTGGTATCCTCGTAATCCGCTAGTCGCAGAGGTCGTGAGTTCGAATCCCCATGGAGTGAAAAATTTACGAAAATTGAAGGTGAAAGCGAAATATAGCTAAAAAGCTCTCGTGAGTACCAAACTTCGACGTTAGCACCGTTAACGAGGGAAAGGGACGGCTGGACCCTTCTTGCGATAAAAGTGAAATTCAGCACGCACCGCAGGAGGGAGGTGGCGCATGAAAAAAAATAAAAAGAAGAATAAAGCCCTGGTGTTTACCCCCTCCTGTGTGACCCTGGATGGTTGTAGTTGTACGAAAAAATACACTGAAAAGTTCAGTATTCTACATTCGCCGAAAAGCGTAGTACACGTCTCACCACGAAAAATGGGGGGACTGTCGCCATAAAAAATAGGACGAAAACACACACACATGATGTGCATGGAATGTACGGCTGTAGGCTGATACGATCCTGCGGGACATGAGCTGTGAAGCCGTGCGAACAAGAACTGCCCATGCACAAATAGTGGTATGGTCATCTCTGCCTCCCCTTGCTTGCCTTTCTTGGATCACACCTTTTCTTGTTTGTTTACCGACCCGGCCACACTGCTGTGCTTGCTTTGATGCGCAGATGCCAGTTGCCTCTCCTACCCTGGAGCCCGTCATGCCGGTCATGCCGGTAACCACCCCGACGCCGGAGCCCGTCATGCCTGTCGCGGGGCCCACTTCTGAGCCGGAGCCGGAGCCGGACATGTCCATGTCGTACGACTTCGACGACTGCTCCCCCTGCGAGGAGGTGAAGGGTTTTGCTTCTTGCTTCGTGCCCCCAGTGCCCCAGTAGTATACTGTACTCTCGATCGAAAAGAGTTCGGGAAGGAATTGGCCGATTCATTTGGACTCCTGCCTCATCCATCAGAATAGTAGGGAAGTTCTAAGCCACCCCTTGTTGCCGAAAGACATGTGCATACACCAAGTTATGGTGTGGTTGGATGTACAGCAGTAGGTGTCATCCCGCCGTCCTGTCCTCCGAACACAATTGTAAAGAAGAGAAGAGCCAAGTGTTGCGTTTTACAGTTCACGGCGGACCCACCTTCACCCAAGATACTCTAGTCTTGGACATCGATTGTATGTACATACCGTAGTGTTTAATGTACAGCGATCTCAGGCCCGGCTATCACCCATACCACATGTATCTGAATATATGGTGCACTCTTCACTGGAATTTCGTTGGCGGAACCGAGCAGGCCACAGAAATACTCACCATGGAGGACTGGATCGCCCTCGAGAACGATGGACTGGAGCTAGTCTGTGACCCGGACTGCTACGAGAACTCCATGCTCGACGGCTGCGGGGCCTTCGGTCTCGACACCGAGTGCCGTACTGTCGAGATCGACGATGGAGAGGGTGAGGGTGGGGGCGAAGGAGGAGGAACCACGTCCTCTGAGACCGGAGCGGGCGGGGGAGAGGGAGGAGGAACCACGTCGTCGGAGACCGGAGCGGGCGGGGGAGAAGGAGGAGGAACCACGTCGTCGGAGACAGGCGAGGGGGGAGGAGAGGGAGGAGGGGTCACGTCCTCTCAGACGGGAGAGGGTGAGGGAGAGGGAGAGGGAGGCGGAGGAGACACCACCTCCGGAAGCTGCACCGACGCGGAGATCGCCATGTGTGCCGACATCTCCCCTGCACAGGTGTGTTCTCGCGATAATGTCTGCAGAACGTGGTTGTTTCCTATAGTAGTTGGTTCCGGACAAGCGACTGTGAACTGCTGTGGGTCGGTTTAGCATTGCTTCCGTGCCCAGCACCTTGCCCTTGCTTATTACCATGTGCGCCTGACCACCTCACCCCTGCATTGTTGGCGCGAGCGTCGCAACCTACAGAAGGTGCATCCCATACCCATTGTTGCCTTCGTATACAACAAACCCAAGCCCATGCTGTTCCTCATGCATTTTATTGTCGTTGGTGGTGCAGTACGAGTACAACGGAAGCCTGCCTGCCAAAGCTCTGTTGCTGTGGCCTGTCTTGTTCTCACGCCTCGTTTGGTCACGTGCTTCTCTCGTCTGTGAACTCTCCGTACAGGAGGAGGCCCTTGCCATGTACGACGGCGGCGGAAAGGTGATCGTGTGCGACCCCACCTGCCTCGGCGGGGACATTTCTCACTGCAACTGTGAGTATTGGTTGTGCAATACAGCCTTTCGCCATCCCTAATGTAATGTATCTGTGTTTCGTCGCCGTTCCGTTGCTGTGACTTGCGAGAGGGATGCCGTATTCTCATGTTTTACCGCGCAAGGTCTTGATTTCATGGCAGTGTACGTGCAAAACACAATATTCGACCTACGAATCATTCCTATAATGTTCCCAACCGCAGCCTTTGGGGACGTCCTGTGTAACCCTCTCTAAAAAGAAACCCTGTCCCGATCCACTCGTTCACCAACTATTATGTTTTTCTGTTTTTGATGCTTTAGTTCGTGCATACACATCTCTTATTTCGCGCCCGGCCCGCTCCGCCCACGTACGTATGCCGAATCACTTGCTTTCGTCATGCGTAGACTTTGGCCTCGGACAGCTCTGCCGTGGGTGTGGCTCTTGCTCCGAGTGCGTGCCTTGCCCTTAAGCCTTGAGAGCTTAACAGGACAGAGCATACACGGCACGCGCCTGCCTCCTCGGAAGGAACGAAGTCAACAGCAACAGCACGGGTCGCGTCAACTGGTGCCCCTGATAGAACGGGACCATTGGGAACGTTTTACGTCGGACAACGCCGATGACCACTACAGAGAAGTCGTCGCCGTCGTCGATGCGTTTTATTTTTCCCTTTTCGGGCAGGCCCCCAACCCACCAAAGGATGACGCTGCCCCGTGGCTTGGCTGCTGTTTTAGCGCCCGACGACCTCTCGAACGTAGGGCCCAACGTCGATTGATGTGATGGCGACGTTGTAGCGCCGTGTGTGGTCATTTTGTAGTTGGCTGGGTGTGGCGCCACCCTTTTGGTTGGGTTGCACTTGGCTCCTGTCGAAGTGTGTCTCAAGCTGATTTGGATCGGGGCTTGGCATGCCCCGGTTTTGTTTCATAGTTGGAGCTCCAGCTTTAAAATATGTGGTCGGTTCTCCGCGAATCGGACTGTCTCCAATTGATTTGGTTTCCCCTTGGAAGGAGGTCGGTGCCCCTACCGTAGCGTAGAAAGTGTTAAGCGAGTCCCGGCCACGACCCCGTATCTGTGTCGTTTGTGTCCCTTGGTGCACGCAATAATGTTATCGAGGGGAGATTAGCCCACCTTTCCTGGGTACTTACCCTGTGTAGCTGTTCTTGTTCGTTTCTTCCATCATGGTATCCTCGTAATGGTGTATGCATTATCTGTGTAAATCAATCCACCTTGTTTGTTTTTGAGTTCTTTCGCGTGTCGTGCTTGGGAAGCAATGTTTGGAAGCAATGTTTGCTCCCATTTCCGCCGCGCCACCGTGTAGCCTGTCTCAGTGGCCTCAGTGGTCTATAGGTGGCGGATAGAGATGTTGGCGACATATACTTTGTCAAGTCGGCGAGCAATTCGGCTGTGCATGCCACTTGCTGCATAGGGGATTGTAAGGGTGTGTGAGCAAAAGAGGTTCGTATGCCGTGTGTATCCCCATGTGGTGAATGAATCAATCAACATGCATATCTTGTGCCGTTGTGTCGATATTATTGTCCGCCTTAGGCGCATGTTGACATGTTGTTTCTCCGTCGCCCCCCTCCTTGATTGTTATGGCCAGAGTATTGAGTGGTAGTTGCCAAGCTGCAAACCAAACGGAAAACGGTCGAACTTCTGGGTCCGAGAGAAGTCCTGCCGAGGCCGCTCACCGCTCACTCATGCTTCCAAGATGGAAGATGGCCACGATCCAAATTGTGTCATGGACAGCAATCCACCTACAACGTGAGTTGATACAACGTAAGGCCTGGCGCATTTTCGGGGAGTCCTCTCTTGAGACGACACTTCCTTCGGCGAGCGTTCTGGCGAACAGGAAAGGAGCACAAGTTGAGTCCAGGGCTAACACAGCTAGTCTCACTCTCACCACCTTACCTTTAGACTACCCAGACCCCGTCAGGTAAGGCAACCGACCACATGTACAAGCCCATCCGATGTATTGCTGCCAGGTATTCTCATGCCTCCGGCTTTGACGCTGTCTGACAACTGCTATGTTCGCCTGATCATTCCTACAGCCAGCCCCATGTATACACACTAAAAAAAGAGACATCAGGCAGTCGACGACGGCCTATTAGACTACTGCTTGTTGTGTATGCATACCGTGTATGACACAAAATAACACACCCCCTTGACCGATTTTCGAACCTCGATTTCTCAACTGCAGCAACAGTCACAGCGCCGAAAACGGCGGCGTTGAAACCGTCTCGTCGAGAGCTTCTCAAAAATCTATCATTTCGTTTATGCAACCTCTTCGTCGTGGAGTAATCGAGGTTTAAAAAATCGGTCCAGGGAGTGTTGTATCTTGCGCCATATACGGTAGCCTTCATGCCTTGGCAGTGGCAGCAGCAGTGGCGATTGTTGCCAGGTAGTCTTTCCTGACGGGGTGATCATCTTGCGGCCTGTTCAAAGGCGTCCATACCGGCTCTCCCACGAACAACCGCATCGCCTGCAAACAAAAATAGACGAACGAAATAAAAGCGACATACATCACATGACGGAAGGAGCGAAAAACAAGGCCCCTTAACTCCCGTCGCTGGATTGCCAAGGGTGTTCAAACGGATACACTAAAGCCGGTCGCCCTGGTGGTCTAGTGGGTAGCCTCGCAGCCTGCTGAGGGCCAGCTCATGGGTTCGAGTCCCGACAGGGTGAGTTTTTTCTCGCTAATTAAATCCTCGTCTCCGTTGGAAGCGACGCGCTGCAAAGCTCGTTGCTAGTAAACTTGATCGACTTCATAAGTCGCGAGGGAAGGGATTGCTGTACCCTTCTCGCGATAATATCTCAGGCAGGAACCGCAGGAGGGGGTTCAACCCGCCCCTCCTATGTGACCCCGGTTGGGTCGTCTAGCTGGTACAAGTGGAGAATAGGGGCCAGAGGGGCAGACGACAGAGTCCAATGATGGGAGAAAAAAAAAAAAGTGATCTAGTGGTTGGGGGCGGCAGCGAAGAAATAACTCTTGGTACGAAAACTCTTGTTCTTCACTTTTTACTCCCAATACCAGGGAGGGATTGGTGTGTCAAGAAACACACACACACACACACATTTCAACCGCACCGAGGCTGACGTCTTTTTATTGGTTACCCGGTTAGTGCGGTCGATGCTAATAATAAAGACACATACACGCACCCGGTCAGCGAGCGGTGATCCAACAGCAGCAGTAGACTACATACTATTTCAAGTACACTCCGAAGCAAACATGTGGACTTTCGCTAGGAGTCTGCGCCGTGGCTATTGTGCCTGTCGTACCCGTGGTGGTGCAGACACGAACACAACCAGGCGCCCCTCACCTTGACGTAGTTGGTGTCATCGAGGGTGAACCTGTGGTAAATGCCGGCAGGGAGGGTGATCAGGTCGCCCTTGGACATCTTGATCCTCACCCAACGCTCGTCCTTCGCCCTCACGTCGAAGTATCCGCTGCCTATTGTGCATACATAACAAAGGAGAACAGGAAAAGAGACAATAGCAGCTCGGGTTCGAGGTTGACGGGGCTCAAAGGAAACGGTAGTGGTCCCACGTGCTACATGTAGGTCTGTGGGAAGCATTACGCGGCGCGCAGGCGACTTTGATCTAGGGAAAGGACAGCAAAAGGAATGGAATAGCTCCAACAAGGGACAAGGGCACACGACGACCACCACATCGAACGCCCTCATCATGCACCCGCTCCAACACCTTCATCCCGTATGTTTCGCCTTCTGCAGTGACACGTCTACAAGTACCACCTGCTCATCGTGGCGAATATCACATCCCAGGTCAGAACCATCACGTGCTCCCACAAAGAAGGAACCTCATCTACATTGTCCTACATTATCCTCGGCAGGCAGGAGGGCTCTCAACCTTTACATCACCTTCTAGAATGTATCTGATCTCTTCATCGGTGTGCATGTGCTCTTCGAAGAAGGACTTGATCTTGTCCTCGTAGTTCGCCAGCTTGTCCGGCGACACGGTGATGATGTCCTGTATGAACAATCGGTGAAGGGTTCGAAAACGTCGCGGTATGCATGTGGCCATGCGAACTACCCAATGCACGAGGTGCGGGAGGGAGGAGGTGTGTCTACCCTCGATGCCTCTTTGTTCCACGTGATCGAAACAGCACGAAAGTTTCAGGACATGGGACACACTCAAGCTTTCCACGGCAATGCTATCACCGGGTGATGGAGTTTAAGACTGCCACGTATAACATGCGGATCGGCAAATATGAAATGTGAATGCCGCTGCCTTTGTGACAAAGTCATACCAGGCACTTCTAGTACATGTTCAGGGAGGGAGGGGCTGTACTCATAGTCGTGCATGCCGTAGTCGTTGACCATTGACCTCGCATCCCTCAAAGCCGGGACGGAGCACGCCGGGTTCTCACCGGACCAGGCTCGCACATCACCAAGCGCGAAGCGTTGGGGGCGTACTCCANCGTTCCTTTCTAATTTGCCAAAGGTGGCTCAACAATGTCTTCCCTAGTCTCTCTATCCTAACGATATCCCTGCCCGCCTTTTGAACCCACCTATGCCCCAGTACCGCTACCGTCCTTTACCCTCTATTCCATGCCTCAAACATCTCCCTGTACGTCCCATCTATTTTTCCCAGCTCCTTCTTGTACAACGGACATTCCGGGACTACATGAACACGGTCTTCGCATTCGAAGCCGCAATCACATTTGAACTCGTCGTCAGGGAGGGGGAGGGGGCGTACTCTTATGTTTTGC